TTATTTATTTGACAGAGAGAGAGAGCACAAACAGGGGGAGCAGCAGGCAGAGGGAGAGGGAGAAGCAGGCTCCCCGCTGAGCAGGGAGCCCGATGCGGGACTCGATCCCAGGACCCCAGGATCATGACCTGAGCCGAAGACAGCTGCTTAACCAACTGAGCCACCCGGGTGCCCCTATTTTTTTCATTTTTTAAAGTTTTTATTTAAATTCCATTACTTATCAGATATATTATTTTTAAATATCCATTAGTTTTTGAGAGAGAAATAAATGTGAGCCCTGTTTTATAGATGACCCATTGAGTTTAGCACAGCATCTCAATCCCACAGGGAGTCACAGGTAGAACTAAAAACACTCCTGAATTTCTCATCCCTGATCCAGCCGTCAGGACACTCACCTTCACTTACAACTCTGTGCCACTTAATACATTGCCAGATTTGACTGCATACAAGTAACCACCATAGAAAGTATACTTCTGGAGACTGTTATTAGGCTTCTAGCCTCAAGCCAATCAAACATCAGCAAGAGCCAGGCATTCTACCTCTCACTGGTAGCCAGCCAGGTGAAATCAAGAAACTTGACATTTGGGGGAGACTGAGAAAAACCCTTTGTGAGCAGAAGTGATATGACCAGGGCTTTGTCTGTGTAAGCACTTCCAGGGGATCATAATTGTCATTTATCAATTCCACTGGTTTCTAACATATTGGTTGGCAGGGCAGCTGATATACTCGGGTATAAATCCTGCTTGGTAGAAAAAGGCTTGCTTAGAGATCCATGCATTCCTTCATAGATAGAATGCAGTCCACCCCTGTACTATGGCTCATGTGTATTATGAATAGTGAAATGGAAGCTGCCACCTACCTTGACTCTTGTCATCGGGGTCAGGGTCCGATTTCAGTCTTTTCACACTGTTGCCACTCTCTGAGCTGTAACAAAAAATATGGTAATTTGAGCTATGTCCAATCTTGGGGATTAAAACTTTGGGAATCAGGAGCTCCAATAACCATTTATATTTTAGGTAGCCTCAAAGACCTGGGGTGGTCTGGAATGAAAAGTCTTCATTTCAGGTTCTTAATCTCCTTCCAGTTACATTATTGTTATAAAGACAACTTAAACCCCTGGCCAGTTCAAGGAGTAGAGCACTTTATCTTCAAGCATCACCTAAACTTCAGATTCTTTGTTGTCCTTATCATTCATCTTGGTTAGAACCACAGATGGATTGAAGGACTATCTGGACACATTCATACATGACAAAAATTTAGTTAAGTTCTTAAAGATTAAAGGAAATCTCTTCTTTAGTGACATGCTAGAGATTCTGAAAGTCACCCAAAATACCTTCACTGAAAGAATGTCAAAAGAATGTACTTTTCCTGCTATGTAGCTTAGAGAAGACATAATCATACCTCCAGCTCTACCATTACTGCTAATATTTAGGGCAGTCAAAAAAAGAAAAAAAGAATGCACTTCAACAAGGAAAGAAATGATCTCAGAAAGAAGGCTGTAATCACAGAAAGGAAGGGTTAGTGAACAAAGAAACCGGCAAATACAATCTAATTTGTGTGTTAAACATGACCATACTAAAGTCCTGGGCAGTAGCAGCATGTAAGGAAGACGTGATTATAGCTCAAAGTTCTAAGGTCCATGTATAATTTTGTAGGAAAGTAAGACAGCTATTTAACTTTAGGTTTTGCTAAGTATTTCTGGTAAGTTGCAAGTTTAGCCACCAAAAACAGAATACACAAATCCAAACTAGAAGAAAACAAATGAACAAAAGATTTTAAAATCATAATTTTTAAAGAACAGGAGGAAAAAATATTTTTAAAGTAAAATTAAGATAGCAAAACTATATCAAAAATCCTAAAAAATCTAAGCCTACCTATAAAATGAGATTAACAGCCTAAATTTAAAATCAGCTATTTATGAGAATCACCAAAAAATTTAACAAAAACAAACAAGACCCAGAAAGACTGAAAGCAAAAGAACAGCAAAAGAGTTACTAAGGCAAATACTAACCCAAAGAAGGCTGCGCTACCTATTATAATATTAGGGAAACAGAATTTAAGACCAAAAACATTACAAGAGATAAAGTAGGTTAGTTTATACTGAAACAAAGTTTAATTCACTATGAAGAAATAACAATTCTGGGGGCGCCTGGGTGGCTCAGTCGGTTAAGCGGCTGCCTTCGGCTCAGGTCATGATCCTGGAGTCCCCGGATCGAGTCCCGCATCGGGCTCCCTGC